GTAGGATTTACTAGGCTTAAGCAATGAAGCCGACTACAATCTATCCGAATCAATGAAGCCGAATTTTCTAGTAATTACAATCAATATAAGCCTCAAAGTGAGGGAAGTATGCATACATACATAGATGTTTAAGGCACAGTAAAGTAACCGTCTAACAAACCATTTTTAGGACTAACTAGAGGATGCAACTAAGTTAGAAGCATTTTCATTGATGTAAGTCGGATTGCGGGTACGAGCTTAGGTGAATCATTTTTTGGCAAAAACATCAAATTTCCTTTTTATGATAAAGAGTGCTAAATGTAGAACATTACCAAATTGCCGTATCCCTTTATTAAATGCCTAGTGTGTTATTGAACTTTGTCCTGAATGAGTTGGTTATTTTATTTGTGTTTTTATAAAATTTAAAAAGCAATTCCTACCAATGGCTCATGGCTTTGGACGGATCTTTTAAAATTGTCTCCTGCGTCTAATTATAATTGTTCTTTTTTAAAGTTATCCTGGGTTGGACCGTGGCCAGTGCTGTGTGTTTGATGTAATAAGCAGAGTCCCTTTGCCACGAGCCACTGTCAGTACTGAGATTGCATTTTGGCTAAATAGGGGTATGAATACAAGCTGGTAAAATATAATCTGACTGATCTTAATTAATCTCTATTATTTCAGGCTTGTCAGTAAAGGCTGCAAGTTAATTGGATGCGGCTCAGCAATACCCAGTCTTAAGGTTTCAAATGTCGATCTCGCAAAAGTAGTAGATACTAATGATGAATGGATACCTGTTCGCACTGGGATTCGTAATCGATGTGTTCTTTCAGGTCAGTTTGTACTTTTCTGTGCATGATAATGTCATAAATTTGGTAAGCAATTAGTCGTGACTTAGCCTGTGTTGAGCCTCATGTTTTAAATCACATGCAATGAGTTTAACTTGCGAAATTCAGCTTCATAGTCTCATGCACTGCGTTACAAGAGGAAACTATCTGTTGGACCTCTCAGATTGACGATTTGAATCTTACCTAGGATTAGTTTTGTCAGCTAGCTGCTTATACATGACCCTTTTTCTCTGCCCCTATTGAACAATATCTGTTACATAGTCACTGTGGCTTCACCATTCTATTCAGACAACTGAAACGATAAGCATATGGCGGGGTTTGACCTCATTGATGTTGGTAGTGTAAGATGTGTAAGAGCCTAAGGGGGCTTTCTTATAGTTGTACTGGATGTTTGGATGCTTCTACCTTTTATTTGAACACTTATTTTATACAACTATCTGTCTCTTCTCTGGTCCTCATTTCTAGGTGTACTGGATATTTTATGCTATCATTTCTAAAATGACAGGATATTTGAATGACTTCCTTGTAAAATTACAGGCAAAGAGAGCCTGACAACGTTAGCAGTTGAGGCAGCGCATAAAGCACTTGAGATGTCACAGGTTGATGTTGATGATGTGGACCTAATCATGATGTGCACATCTACGCCTGATGATGTCTTTGGCTGTGCTCCTCAGGTATATAGGTCACTAGGTGGTATCTGGATTAAGTCGTCGGGATTTAAAAAAAGAAATAGGGATTGAGCTTCACTAGTGGTGTGCCTTATATGATTGTTATGCCAATATTGATTTCTATTAGATTTGATTCTTCATGTTTTTAGGGGTTTATAAATCTTTAAGTGATGAACAAAATTTCATCTATCTAGGTATGTATTTATTTGTTACGACTAATGAAAAGACCATTTCTTATTAGAGAAATAAAAAGGAACAGATCATTGCTAGCTGCCTTAATTTATAAAGGGGTCCTATTTCGGACAAAAGTAGATTCTTGCCTCCTTGGGGCATCTATGTCTAAGAACTATAGAAGAGTTCCCATTATCATGATTCATCTTGACCGGACTGGAGTTTTGTACTAAATATGGCATTTTTTTTTGTTTTGTTCGGTATTTGGTCAGACTACTGCTGGCCAACTTTTGAAAACTGTGGCTTTTTCAGGTCTCGTCCTTAGATTTCTAGTAGGTTATTTTGTTGATTAAGTTTGTTGTGCTTAAATAGTTTTATGCTTTTCCATGGCACGAACTTTGACCAAGTACTGAACTATATCGATCACCCGTAATATAATCAAAGAACGACTGAATATTACTCTCTTAGTACTTATGCTGTTTATTAATACAGTAATGCTTATATTTTGAATTTGTGTTATATTGTAATTCAGGTTCAGAAAGCGCTTGGCTGCCGAAGGAACCCTTTAGCTTATGATATTACAGCTGCTTGTAGCGGATTTATTTTGGGTCTTGTATAAGCACCTTGTCACATTAAAGGTAACGACTTGGTTAACTTTACTCAGTACACCACTGTTATTTTCCATGTTTAATTGATTTAACTATATTGCGCAAACTACAGCTGGTGGATTCAAAAAGTTCTAGTTATTGGGGCTGATGCTATTTCTCGGATTGTCGACTGGACTGATAGAGGAACGTGTATTCTCTTCGGGGATGCTGCTGGGGCTGTATTAGTTCAGGTGCGTTTATGTTGCTTAAACATCTCACTGCCGCCTTTGAAGGAAATGAAACAGATGATGAATTGGGTTCTAATGGTTCTAATGGTTCAGTCCTAGGCTTCCCTCCAAGACCCCCTTCATATTCCTGCCTTCAAATGAATGTTAAAGAGGTCTTTCGCTTTGCTGTGCGTACCGTGCCACAGTCACTTGAGTCTTCTCTTGCAAAAGCCGGTCTCCCTCAATCTAGCATTGATTGGTTACTGCTCCATCATGTATGACGAATGATATCGTTCGGAAAGTTTACCCCGGGTTTACTGATTAAAATGATTGCTCTGCTCTACTGTCATTCTTTGTAATGGGAAGTTTGAATGAAAATAGCTCTTTACGGTAGCTTCTTAACGACTTAAGGTTATCCTAGCAAACAAGCGACGGGGGTACTTCTTGTTTTGATAATGGTGATGGATCAAAGGTGATGGGTTATAACAAAAACAAATCAATAACACAGGCAAACCAGAGGATCCTCGATGCGGTTTCTACTCGCATGCAAATCCCTTCAGAGCAGGTGATTTCGAACTTGGCAAACTATGGAAACACGAGCGCTGCTTCCATACCTTTGGCGTTGGACGAAGCTGTGAGAAGTGGGAAGGTGAAACCAGGCCATACTATCGCAGCTGCCGGTTTCGCAGCAGGTCTTACTTGGGCTTCTACCATTTTCAGATGGGGTTGAACTTGAAACCTCATCGCCTCCGGCCAAGACAGAATAAGACCTGCTCCGAAACCTGAGGCGATGCACACTGAAACGCAATTTTGCAATACTCGCCTCAAATTCCAATGTATTAGATATTGTTGCATCATAATCTCCATCAGCTCCCTTTTTGTTTGTTTGTCTCTGCTTTTTTCTTCCTTTAGTTTTCTGGCACCCTCGTACCATCTCCAACCCATGGGCTAAAAACCAAATTTTTTAGCCCGGCAAATTTAGCTTTTAGCCCAGAAACAATTTTTCTGCTCTAACCCTTCTAGTCTAAAATTTTAGCTCGGGATTATTAAAGAATGAACTTAGGCTAATTTTTTTCATAAATTAATTTAAAAAAATAAAAATAAATATGTAGGCTATTGTAAATTAATTTTATAAACATTTTAATCTAAAAATATTTAAATTCTGATAAATATTGAAAAATCACTAAATTTTCCACAAAGCAAGTCTTCAACTTTCACCAAACTTTCAACTTTCACTAACTTTGACCAATCGTTCAACACCAAACTTTCAACCTTCATCAATCATCTTCTATATAAACACAGGTTCAATATTAGTTGATCACACAATCTTTCAACCTTCAATCATCCTCTATATTCACCAATCTTTCAACTTTCAAAGAGTTTTTGTTTCCAAAAAATCCTCAATATCTCATCAATGGGTGATAGAAGAAGGCATAGCAAGGCAATACAGATGGCACAATACCAAGCAAGGCTTGACATTGAGGATGCAAAATTGATGAACGTCGAAGCTGAACTTGTAAACTTGCTTATGCAATATGAGCACCATGGCGAATCTAGCCATCGTTGTTCTGTCACAGGACATTCATTTGTGCAGCATGATAGAAAACAGTGTCATGACCGAATGATGAAAGAAAACAGTGCACCATGGCGAATCTAGCCATCGTTGCAAGAAAGGTAGATGTTGTTGGCCGCCAAAGTCTATCATCTCATCAGAAGCTCACATCTGCATTTCAGATGCTAGCCAATGGGTGCTTTGCAGACTCAATTGACGAGTATTGCCGAATTGCGGAGAGTACTGCTATTGAGAACATGAAGCGCTTTTGTTAGGCAATTCAAGTCATATATGGAGCCATATACCTCCACAAGCCAAATCGTGAAGACTCGAAGAGGCTACTACGCAAGGCAGACAAAAAAGGCTTCCCTGGCATGATAGCAAGTCTCGATTTTGAGTTAAAATTTTTTTTTTAATTATTTTAACCGTTGGATTTAAATTTGGGTCGTTATATCTTTTATTTTACTATTAGATTTGATTATATTCGATCTCAGCCGTTGGATTCAATAATATATAAATATTAAAAAAAAAAAAATTGAATCTAGGTTGTTGGATTAACCAACGGCTTGATAATCACGACCGTTGGATGGAAGGAGCCGTTGGGGCTCATGCGGAATGTGGCCGACAGGCCCACGTGGGTGGGTCCTTGGCAGTCGGAAGCCTCGCACGTTAGGCGTCATCGTGGGCTGCGTTTGGCGCCCAAACGTTGAAAAGCAATCCCTTCGGTGGGGCCCACACCGACTTTTGGGCTAAATTTTGGACGGAATCTGGCCTCAATTCCCCATTTAGCATTTAGCCCAAAGTTTTTCCTTGTGTTAGATTGAGTTTGGGGGAAAATTTAGCCCATAGCCTAGGATTGGAGGTGACCTCAGTAAAATTGTTGTCTTTTTCTCCCGCCCAATAATTTATTTATTTTTATTTTTCTTGAGCCACCAGTCGATGCTAAAAAAATTCTAATACTCTGAATCTCATGTTTGAAATGATAATTTTTCTAAATTTTTGTTTTTTACAAGTGATAAGATAATTACATAACATAAATCTAAACCACGAAAATAAAAATCTAAACTTGGGTACAGACGGCGGAGCACATTGATAAATAGCTAAATACAAGTTCAACGTAATTAATAATTACAGTAACTTAAATGCCAAGAAAAGAAAAATTAAAGTAGGTCATTGAGCAAAAGCTTGACCTCTAGGTTGAACTTGAACCCTAGATTTAATCTTCTTCAAAGCACCCTCAATTGCAAGATCAAAAGCATCTTTCTTGGCTCTCAATCCCATTGAGCTTCCATGCCTTCTATACATAACTCTTGGTATCATCTCCAACACTCTCTCCCTCATCCTCCTCACTTTAGCCCTAGGAATGCTCCTAAGCACATCCAAAACCCTAGTCTCCTTGAACACCACATCCTCCTTGGGTATAAACACCGAGAAATCCCCGTACTGATCCTCCGGCAAGTGCCACCCGTACTGCACTTTGGCGGACGAGGACTCGAAGAATACGGGGATGCAGCCGGCCACAATGCTGTCGAACGTGGACCGCCTTGTCGGGGTGTCGCCCGGCGGTTGCAAGCAAAAATTAGCTTGCAACATTGGCCTCATGAACCTAATTGGGTCATGCTCACATATACCATTCGAGCAATCCACAAAGTCACAAGGCTTTGTGTACTCGGCAACCCCACTTCCAAACATCCCCAAATTGTTGTTGTTTGACGTCACATTGTTTTCTATGGTGTTGTTTTCACACTCGTTCCTAATACTCTTCCTAATGTTCGGATTGTTTCCGACACCGCCACCGCCGGCGAACATCATAAGCGTTGTCCTCCGGGACCGCCTCGCCCGCTGCACCCACGCCTCTAATAAAGACAAATTGGGCGGGTGAAATGACGACGGATAAGGCACAGCGTGCTCCTGCCACGGCCAGGCACGCGCCTCCACCGTCAGAGCGGTGACATTGAAGAACTGCGGCAATTCGAGCAGCGAAGTTCCCCACAGCCGCGGATCGTTCCTCAGCGGCTGAGAGAAATCCAGAGCGGGTCGGGCCAAAACCAAGAAGTGATCGTGACCCATATTCCGATTCCACAATTCCGGGTCGTCCCGGGTCAAAAATTCGAACAAATTGAGGCCCTGCTCGGAGCTGGAATTGTAATCGGGGCCGTAGAGGTAGCGGAGGGCGTCGATGCCGGCGTAGTAGGGGAGGTAGATGGCGTCGGCGGATTGGGGATCTGAGGTGAGACATGGGTATTCGAGCATCCGACGGTGGAAAATAAGCTCGAGCATCAAGGGGTCGGTTCGGTACCAGCTGTGAGAAAGATTATGGGTTTTCTGGCCCAGGCCATGGTTGGCCAAGTAAGGGCAGAAGTCGTCGAACAGAGGGTAGCCGGAGCAGTTGGAGAGGAGATCGAGGTTGAAAGCCGGCGGGAGACGTCGGATGTGGATCCAACGACCAGTGCAGTCGGAGTCGGATTGACTTGGGTCGAGATTGTTTCTGGGTACTTGGGCGGAGCTTAATCGAATGGTGGTGGTGGTGGTGGAGGAGAAGAAGAAGAGGAGGAAGGAGGTGGTGATTAGTAAAGTGGACTTGGAGGAGGCCATTGGAGGAGACTCAGAGAGAGAGATGTGGGGAGGAGAGAGAGAATGGGGTAATTTATGGGGATATTTTTACAGTTAAATTCTTTAAACTTTTGAAATGGTTTTAAGGGGTTTTGGGTATTTTTCTGTTTTGTTATGGTAATTTTGTTTGTTTTATCTTTTCCTGTTTATCTTTCCAGTTTGGGAGGAAGATTAGTTTTGTCTGTTAAAACTGCATTTTTTTATTTGTTTTATTTATTTTTTTGGGTTAAAAAATGGAAATCCAACAAGAAAACAAAAATGTTGTTGTGTAGAGAGAAAAAATGACGAGGTTGTTTTTTTTTAAACTGCTTGAGTGCATGGGACGTGGGGTTTGACGCGTTTATGTCGGTGGGGTTTGTTGGTGTTAGTTGGGGTGGCGGTGGCGGTGGTGATGTTGGGGTGGAGCTTTGGCTAATACATCAACAATGGAATTTTAAATTTTTTCAGCACGTTATCACATGTTAATGATTAACCAAACAAAAATTTTAATTTATTTAGGGTTTTTTTATTAGCACTTTACATGTATTCCATATACTCCACATTAAAATTTAGGAGATTTTATACCAGTACCATCCGGAGTTAATGATGAAAATGTAACAACCCGTCTATAATTTTACGATTTATTAATTTTAAAGTAGTGAATTGACGAAAAGCCCCTTGAGGCGAGATGGTTGACTATTGTTGACCGTTATTTTGTGACGCGTATGAGCTATTATTTTATCGTATTCCCGATGTACTCAACGATATGAACGTGTAGGCGCAAGCAGAACTAGAATCGGAGTTACAACGAAGATTTTACGAATTACAGAGTGTGAGGATGTTTTGGTAAATTCATGACGAGAGCTATTTTTTCCTGTATTTTCATTGGTGACTTTAAACTGTGTGCCAAGTGGGGCCCACACCACTCCTCCCCTCACTCTCGTGTCTCCCACTTTTCTAGAACACACACACACACACACTCTCACTCTCTCTCTCTCTCTCTCTCTCATTTTCAAACCATATTATACCTATACTAAAACCCAAGTGAAAAAACATTGTTCATTAACAGTGCACAGACGGAACTACCCTCTAGTTCCTCTATGTTTTCAATTTTTTTTACCGTTTTACCCTTTCTTTAATAGTGCAAGGACATAAATGGCCTTCGACTTTATTGTATTCCGATTTTTTTTGTACCATTTAGCCTTTTCATTCCACGCGTCACTCATTTGTTTTACTTGACGAAAATGTCCTCGGCTTCTCCTTTCTTTGTTATTCTGTTTCTTTTTTTGTACAGTAAATTCTCAATTTTTCCCAGGGCTACGTGTCTGTCTGCTTCCATAGGATGTCGCTGCGTTGGTCTTCTCGAGCCTTCCATCCTTTTCCATCCCTGTCTCATAAGCGTTTTTCTTCCTCTCAATCCTCACGTTTTCTCGCTCTCTGATCTCGAGTTCTCTATCTCTCTCTCACTGTATATTACCTTGTCCCTTTTTTTTAATTGTATTTTCTTTTGCAAGAAGGGTAAGGTTTATGCACCCCCCTCATTTCCTGTATTTATTATTTTATTATTTTTGTTTTGTATGGGGTAATGTTTATTCCCCTTACTAATGTAACTGTCTTTTTTCGTATCAAAATATATTAAACTAAGAGTGCGCAATGTGGGATACACTCTTTTTACAATGCATGCAGTGTTAGAGCATTGATAAATGTGCATAAATGTAAAGAGTATATGTACAAAAATAACATAAACAACTTCCTACATTATTGAAAGTGAACGTCAGAAACTGCAAGTACATAAAACCTGGCGTAAGTTTTTTACTTGAATAAAACCATTGACTAGATTCCACATCAGCAAATTCATTAATTATGTTTAACTTCACACATTTAGAAAATTTCGGATGCCTAAAATACCCCTATTTGATTTTTTTTATTTATTTTATAAACTCTATTTGAATGTTTGATGTACATAATTAATGCCAGATGGATTGTAAGGGAGAATTAATGATTTAAAAACAACATTAATGTTATAAATTCATTGACTAATATATAATAACATAAAACATGTCTAATATGTTATTATACATTCTTAATTAAGTCAATAAAATTATGTTTTACCTATTTAAGTGTGTGAAATTCATGCAAAATAATTTACCCAAAAAAAACATTTGATTCGAATAGTGCACCTACTATTAAAATTTTAAAATGTTAGATTGCTTAAAAAAAAAAAAACCCAATATGTAGAATACATGAAAAATAATTTACCTACATAATAACAAACCATATATATGCAAAAGAATTTATGTGACAGCCCATCCCGGATTATTTGTACCGTAGGTGTGAAATGACGATTTTGCCCTTGGTGGGTATTTGCCTTTTTGGTGTGTTGTTTAGTTGTTTGGCTGGTTGCATCTGGACCACACACACACCCTCATCCCCATCATCATCTCTTGTGTACCACCCTCTGTCTCGAACACTCTCTCTCTCTCTCTTCTTCTTCCTTTGTACGAACAACACCAAACCAACCTATTTCTGTGCAGATTGAGCCCGTGTTCAGTACCATCACCTTCATCTCGTCATTACGAACTCATCTATACCAGTTTTTAGACGTGAAACCCTCGAAAACCTAAGAACCAGGGAACCCCGATTTTGTGCATTGTTCATGCACACGTGATCATGGGGGATTTAGAAGTTTTTAAGGTCATAGGAAGCTTTAGAATACTCTCACAAAGCTCGGGGAAGCATTTTGGGAGAAATTGGACGTCGGGAAAGCCAGGAGTGATGAGTTGCAGGTTTAGCTGGAATTTCGTGGTTTCTCCGATGAGATTCCATGAATTTAAGACTTCAAAGTGGTAAGGTTTTGTTCTACTTGTTGTAAGCTTCATTTTGGTACCAATTTCATGGAATTTGGTTGAGAAATGAAGAAGATATGAAGTTTTGAAAATTTTCCAGTTTCCGGCGAGAATTCGAGTTGCAGACGGCAGCGTTGACAACGACGGCCGGCGAGACTCACTGGAGAAGACAAGGGAATATTTCATTAAGTTAACAGAATATTCTTAACAGTGCCAGGTTAGTTTTAATGGAATTTGTTAGGGTTTAACGGAATATTCCCTAACGGCGGTTAGGGAATCCGTTAGTTTTGGCCGCGCGTAGGGCCGTGCCCTCGCTGGCACGTGGCGGCACGTGGAGCCTCGGAAAATTATTTTTAAAATATGGGGATGTTCGTGAGGTTGAGTAGATCACATTGGTGTATTCACACATCGCATTTGAGCATTGTATGAGAAATTATTACCTAGTTTTGGTTATGTGCTTTAAATTGACGTTTTTATAGTTGTTTCGCATATAGGTGAGACCTATCATGAGGACGAGCGCAGTCACTCGAGGCAAGGGGGTTACGACCCTTCCATATATCAGTGAGTGGGCTTTTGGTTTTCCGTATATACCTATATACTTGTGGTTTTTCCCAGAAAATGAAATGGAATATTTATATGTTTTAAATGTCATGCTTAGCGTTTGCCTATTTAATTATGCATTAGTAGTTGCATATATTTATGATTGGTGTTGCGGACACAGAGGTAAGTGCCAGGTAAGTTTATGGTTTATGATTGTGAATTAGTGGTTATGTGAGATGCATAGAGAGCTCATAACCTGCACCCCCAGTGTTAGTGCACCCGCTTAGAGTAGGGCCTAGTCCTTCACGTGATGTTCACCTCCCGCACCACATGCTCATTTTGGATCCAAGTTAGGTGCACAGTCCTGTCGTACAGACCACTATAGGTGGTTCCGACTCATAGGTGACCCGTAATTATTCACCCAGTCTTCACGTGATCGTAGCACTTGAGCGTATTTATTTACACCCAGTCCTGTCGTATAGACCACTATAGGTGGTCCCGACTCGTGTGCAGGTATAGTTAGTGAGTTGGGGATTTGAGCTCTAGATTCAACCGTATAGGTCACGTTAGGTGACTCCGGCGGACATGTTACTTACATTGATTGTCATTACCTGGGTTACTTACATTTTATGTGGAAGCATTCGACATGGCATATTTCTGAACATGTTTTCGATATATGTGTATATTCTATTTTCTAGGAAACGATACAGGTTTTACGGCGAGGGGTTCGAACTTTGATAATGAAATGATTGTGAAAAGCTTTGTTTTTGCCCACTCACACTTTTTGTTTTGCGCCCCTCCATGTTCTAGTTAGAATCAGCTTTGGTGGTTCACGAGGACTTGACGGTGGTCCTGACAGAACATCACAAATGTAGGATCATCTTTGGGTGTGGTGTAATTAATATTCGTTCTTCTGGACTGCACTTAGGCTTTCTGTGCTCTGAATATTGTTTTTCACACTTACACTTGCACTTGTACGTTAACTACATCGTTTAGTAGTTTGGTTTTTATTTATTCGTACTTTTATTATTATATTTTGCTTCCGCACTGTGCACATGGGTACGTCACCCTCACGTGATGGGCAGCACGCCTTGATTTCGGTCGGGGTGTGTCAATTTACCTACATAATAATATTTTTTATTTTATTTAATACTAATTTACCTATTATTTGTACATATAATAATAAAATATGCCAAATAATACCTACTTAACACTAATAATTTACCTACTTAATACTAATTTACCTATTATCATATAATAATTTACCTATTATTTGGACATATATCTTATTAATTTACCTACAAAATATATATTATTTGATAATCATAAATTTACATATAGGTAAATTAATTACCTATAATATTTTTTTTAACATATTTGTTAGTACTGTGCATATATATATATAACTTATAATAGCACTATATACTTTTGAACTTGTGTGTGTGTTGGGGGTAATAATATGTGCAATAAGTAATTGTTCATTATAATTAAGGTGAGTAATAATATTTATTGATTTGATTTGAATATTGTCAAGTTGTAAATACTTTGTAATAATAGGTCAATTACTTTTATGCATTAATAAAAGCAAAAGTCTTTCCATATAAATCAAATAGAAAACTAGATTTTAATCCCTAAATAAAATGAAGTTTAGAAAAATGTCTTATACAAGATTAAAAATTAATTTTAGTCCATAGACTCTATTTAATGCCATCAATTTTAATTCTCATTATGGTAGGCATCTTATATAAGAAAATATTTTTGTAGAGATTTTTTGGTACACTTATGTTTTTGCATATTTTCTTATCTGCCACTAATTCATAAAAATATATTTAGGTACGAACATTTTGGTACAATGGGTTAGTATAATATGTTTAAGTACGAACATTTCGGTACACTAGTTTAGTATAATATATTTCGGTACCGACATTTCGGTACACTAGTTTAGTATCATATAGTTAGGTATCGAATTTTGGTACACTTATGTTTTTACATATTTTCTTATCTGTCACTAATTCACTATAATATATTTAGGTATGGGCATTTCGGTACACTAATTTAATAAAATATATTATGATATGTGTTTAGGTACACTAATTGGAGAAGGTTAAATAAAATTGTATAATAATAAATTTAAAATTTAATGAATAACATTAAATAAGTTATCTATTAAATATAAAAACTTTGACAAAAAAATATTCTATTAAATATAAAAACAAAAATATAATATGAATTTGAATTAAGTACACATTAAGGGTCTAAAATCAATAATCAATCTAAAATCAGGTTTTTTTTTTTTTTTTAAATTTTAATCTTCTTGAAGGATTAAAATTCAAAAACCCTATTGAAATTAAGGGTCCAATATGCTTAACCCTTGAGCTCCAAAATGAGGACGTTTCGGCCAAATTTAAAGATTAGCATGCACACAAAAAATTAAAAAGAACAAACATAACTGACGCAGAAGTTCTCACTTAAAATCTTCAAAAGACTTTCTATAACCAAAGTTGGACATATAAAACTTATATCTCACAGGTTTTTCTTTATCTTCGTAAATCAATGGTTAAGGTGTTTTCAACACCATCGGTTTCATAGGACGTGTGACCTGCCTATATTACACACACACACACACTTATATTCTTATAGTATGTATACGTCCTCTTGTCTATGATGGCTATGATGGCGAGGAGAAAGGAAGCGGATTGGCTAAAAAGAGAAATAATTATGGTGACAAATGTGCTTCCTTTTTGGCCAAAAACAATTGAGGGACATACCATTCACTTTTTATGAGGACAAAGTTTTTCTACCAAAATGATGGAAGATTGAAAACAAAGATTCTTCTTCACGTCTATTGAAAAATTATTGTTTTTAGAAAATGCTAGCTTGTACGAGATGGATGATCAATTTTCTCATACAACAATTTATCATATTAACTAAACAAATTAATATAGGAGTATACTTGTAAGTTGTATACATGAGTTACCTAGAATGGACAGGTAAATAAGTATACGACAACAACGTTGATCCTTGAGTAACTTTTAGCTTCTTGAATGCATATGTGCACATTTGTTTGTTTAATGTAAAAGAGTCTAAAAATATAATATGAATTTGAATTAAGTACACATTAAGAGTCTAAAATCAATAATTAATCTAACACCAGGTGTTTTTTTTTTTTTTTTTTAATTTTAATCTTCTTGAAGGATTAAAATTCAAATTAAATGTACAATTAAATCCAATCCAGACTTGAAAATCCAAACTTTATATCAAATTGAGAATTTTTTTTTTTTTTTGAGCTCACTAGTCGGTAGTTTTTGCGTGCCTGGAACCTCAAAAGTGGAGGCTAAATGCATCCCTTTGTACTTCTTTTTGTCTCCTCATCTTCCTATTTGTAAAGTCCAAAAAGCTGAAATCAGAATTGCTTCAAATAATTTGCCAGATTTTACAATTCGAAGGGACACGTTTTCAAACTAACATACCAAGATATTAGTAGTGGACACAAATGATTAAAATTAGTAATAAAAAACTGAAATCAAAGGAAGAAAAATAAAAATTGAAGATTGATAGGACTTATGTGACAGCCCGTTTCGAATTTTCAAACCGTAGGGGTGAAATGACGTTTTTACCCCTAGTGTGGTTGTTTTTGGGTGTTGCTTGGCTGGTTTTGGACCACACACACACCACACTCACTCACCCTCTCTCCCTGCCCTGTCCCAAGCCCTCTCTCTCTCCCTTTCCTATTCTCTTTGTACGGACGACAACCAAAACCATTGAAACCTTCACAAATCAAGGAAACAAATTACATATTCGTGCTCGTGAGGTCCGTAGGAACCGTAGGAGTTCAACCATACCCATTTCAGGTAAGGATACCTTCATTTTCACATCGAACTCGGGATACCCCGATTTGGTCATTGTTCATGCACACGTTAATTCTTGTGTTTTTGAGAATTTCAAGCTTGTAGGAAGCTTGGTGAGGTCCTTAGGAGGCTCAAGGTGGTTCGTTTGAAGGTTTTGGACGTCGGGATCGTGAGTTACAAGCTTGGCCGGAGTTGGTGGTGTTTTCCCGTCGAGATTCCGTGGGTTTTAGTGCTTGAAAGTGGTATGGATTTGTTCCTCTCGTTGTAAGCTTCATTTTGGTACCAATTTTGTGAAATTTGGTTGAAAAACGAGTGAGATACAAGGTTTTAAAGTTTTCCCGATTTTCCGGCGGCGGAGCTTCGCCGGAGAAGATGACGGAATATTCTGTCAGTTTGGACGGAATATTCCTAACAGCGTTAACGGAATATTCCTGACGGCGTTAATTGACGCCGTCAGTGTGCCAGGCACGTGCGGCGGTGGAAAATTTTTCTAAAAATATGGGGATGTTCCTGAGGTTGAGTAGATCACGTTGGTGTATTCATACACCCCATTTGAGCTTTGTATGAGAAGCTATTTCTTAAGGTTGGTTATGTGCTTTAAAATTAACGTTTTTATAGTTGTTTCGCATATAGGTGAGACCTATCCCGAGGACGAGCGCGGTCACTCGAGGCAAGGGGGTTACGACCCTTCTACATACCAGTGAGTGGGCTTTTGTTTTCCGTATATACCTATATACTGATGTTTTTCCCAAAAAATGAATTGAAACGTTTATACATTTTTATGCCATGCATTATGTTTGCCGTTTGTTTATGCATTGTTAGTAGCCTATATATATATTTGTTGGTGCTGCGGGCGCACAGGTAAGTGCCAGGTGAGTATGATTTATGCTTATATTCAGTAGTGGTTTGAGATGCATTGAGAGCTCATAACCTGCACCCCCGGTGTTAGTGCTCCCGCCCAGAGTTGAGCACAGTCCTTCACGTGATGTTCACCTCCCGCACCACACGCTCATCTTGGATCCAAGTTAGGTGCACAGTCCTGTCGTACAGACCACTTTAGGTGGTTCCGACTCGTGTGCAGGTATAGTTAGTGAGATGGAGATTTGAGCTCTAGATTCAGCCGTACAGATCACGTTAGGTGACTCCGGCTGACAGATTACATGGCATTGATTTGACATTTCCTGAGCACTTGCATTTCATTTTGAGGTTTTTGGCATGGCATCTTTTTGAGCGTGATTTATATATATATATATATATATTCTATTTTTCTGGGAAGTATACAAGTTTTACAGCGAGGGGTTAGAACTTGTTTATGAAATGGTTTTTGAAAAGCTTTGTTTTTGCCCACTCACACTTTTTGTTTTGCGCCCCTCCAGGTTCTAGTTGGCTAGCGCTTTTGGTGGCTTCCCAGAGGATTTCCCTGGCATATTTGACAGATTATCACCAGTGTAGGACCACCTTTGGGGTGTGTTTTGTAGTGTTATTTCTCCCGGACTGCATTAGGTCTTCGTGCTCTGAACTTCGTTTTTCACACTTACGCTTGCACATGTATGTTCTTACTTTGTGTAAAGCTGGTTTTTAATTATTTGTACTTTTATTATTAATTTATTAGCTTCCGCACTATGCACATGGTTACGTCACTTCCACGTGACGGCCAGCATGCCCTAATCTCGGTCGGGGTGTGTCAACTTACAAACGGTACCTTGTTTGGAGACTTAAGGAAAAGTAAACAGAGAATGAGCAATAATGGAGTAAAAGAAAATTAAAACCTTAATTTCTGCTCTGAGATGGTATGAAGTTATGTCTACTAGTTTTATGATAAATGGGTAAAATCGTAATGATGAAATTTTAATGTTTAGGTTTCAATTTGTTGGTAGAAGCAGGCGAAGCAATGGAGAATGTTTATTCTTATTATTGGATAACTGCAACAAAGATGAGAAGAGTTTAAATCTCAATCCTCTAGCAAATAAGAGTTAATATATCAATGACTTGGTGAATGGAATGTAATACTTGTATCTCCTAACTTTTAGCACTAAATCTTCAACAAAATAAGAGTTAATAGATCAATGACTTGTTCATTGGAATGAAATACTTTTATAAACGCTTAAAACCAAAATGCTATCAAACTAATTCCAAGTTCAAGAAGGCAGTGGAAAAGGTAATTATCAAAATGAGAAGAGTTAAAATAAATTAGGCATTGTTCTCAACACTATTAGCACACCTATGACTGGTAGGAAAAAGAAGTAGTGCTAACCTAAAGAGAAAAAGTTTATCCTCAGTGTGTTGTGCCTCTCTGTGTTTTTCTTTTTCCAATAAATATGCAACCAAACCTATGCTATGAACTATCTATCCAAATCACTACACAAAAACCCAATTAAAAACCAAGAAGCATAATTCAAGCATTATCAAAATAGGTAAAATCATAGACTATTGGTCATATGTAGACTAAAGCACAATTTGTTCCACCAACTTCTCCAACACAAAAATACAGGGATTTGAGCTTTTACCTCATGGAAATGGAAAGGGGAACAATCTGTAGTAGAATGAATTATGCTCCCACTTATTTCAAAAGGCCACAAAGTTTGAACATCACACTACAGTTTGGCATTGACTTCAAAGGAAATCTGATCAAAAGACAATTATGCACTTGACAATCACAAATGAGGTCATAAGGTAAAAAAATTCACCCCTCAAATTTCAGTGAGTAAAACTAAGCATTGATGTAGGAAATCATTTAGAAGCTTGAGATAAACAAAAAATTAAATTAATTGACTAACAAAATCGGAGCCATTCCCCTAATTTTAACAACATTCAAATATCCAAATTTGCACGGAAAATTCATTTCCACATCCGAATTTACAGTTCTAGAAATCAGAATTTATTACAAAAAATAACAATGAACTTGTGAAGTAGAGCATGAGTGGGATTTACCTGGATGCTGATGCAGAGGTTTTGGAGGGGCCTTCTTGATGGTGGCCCATGCGACTTTGTGAGGGTTAGGGATGGTTTGTTGCTTGCTAGTTTGGAGTTGGATTGTTGACCCATTATTCAGAGGTGTAGGAGTGCTTTGTTACTATGTGTATTATCTTCACTTGTAGAATCAAAGAACTACATGTCTGTTTTCTAAAAACTGAAATGAAATCCAATATGCAATACCTGAATATTTGTCATGGGAGTAAGAGGAATCGTTTACTGATAGTAGCGAGGTCTAGTTCTTTGGTTATCGGCCAGAATCGCCTTGTCAAAAAATCAGGCATCTAAACACATAAACAAAAGCAACCAAAATTTGAAAAAAAAAAAAAAAAAAAAAAAAAACCAAAATTTAAACCGAAGTTGTATCTGTAGACCAAAGGCCACCAAAAATAAAAAAATAAAAAAATTTCTTAAACAAAAGACACAAAAGGAAAAACAAAAATTGTATACACTCAGCACAAAGGGCTACCAACGCTGCACACAAAAGCTCTAAAATTTCATGACCAGTGTTTCCTGAAAGAAAAAACGAATCAAATTAGACAACCACACACAAGATCAAAGCACACAAAGATAACCTCGAAATCATAGGAAAAAAAAAGTCCAAACACAAAATCCACCTGCAAATCGAAAACCACAAAAAAGAAATGAAAACAAATTAAATTAGGCACAATGAAAAATGCCTAAAACTCACCATAAGACACTAGGTCACGCAAGGAAAAAAATGATTTTGATGAAATTGAAACGGCAAAAGCTTGTAGCCACCTAAAGCTTTCGAACCAAAGAAATTCGCAGGAGCAGAAGACTATTCCAACAACAAAAACGACAGTGGATGATCGCGCCGAGACAAAGACGGAAACAATAGATATTAGGAAAAGGGGCAGTGCGAGAGAGGAAGAAAACCAGGTTCGAAACAAAGCAAAATGTTGTGGGAGAGAGAAAGAAACACGAAAGAAAAGGTCGAGAAGAAATCGAAGCAGAGCCTTCAACGATGATCGACGCGTGTAGCCTAAAAGGGAAACAATGAGCAACATGTGTATAAGAGGATAGAACCAAAAAGAAGATGGAACCAAAAAGCACACGGATGACAAAAAAAATCAGGGGCATTTCTGCCCTTTTACTATTGTTGAACAGTGCTAAAACTCAACTGAGTTTTAGTATATATAATTTGTGATCACATTTCAAAATTTTTCATTTGAAAGGAAATGTAAGATTGTCAAAAAATGGATTGAGCGTTGAAAATAAAAAATAAAAAAAGTTCCGTTGCTAATTGGTAGCTAATAGACAAATGAATAACACAAATAATATGGATATTTCAAATGATAGAGATACATCTTTGATTGAAATATCTCAAGATTTAATAATCAATTCTTCTACAAATCCTATACATTCAATCTTTTTGCAACTTACCCCAATTTTGAACATTTTTTTTTGACAATTTTGTGTATTTAAGAAAACGAGCTATTATAGCACCTCAAAATACAACTGTTCACTACAACATAATTGATCTTTTACGGCGCACAAAGAGCTCCGTAAATGGTTATTTACGACGTGAGCCCCCAATAAAAGCCTCTGTCATAAAATATGTTTTGTCAAATACGACGTTCTCTAGTAGCCATGAATAATTTAAGCAAAACACATCGTAAATGCTCTTTAAGGCGTGCCTTGTGCGCCTTAATTGGTATTAAATACGACATTAATAAAGTGTTGTAATATTGCAAAAACAATTACGGCATACATGTGTGCCGTAATTTATATTTGATACGACGCCTGTTGAATGTCGTAATAATGTGAAAGCAATTACGGCACACATTGTACATCGTAAAAAAAAACTACCATCAACAACTACTAATATTGCAGCTGTAGTTTACATTTACTTTTATTTTTATTTTTAACAATTCATTTTAAACAAACCTAACTTCATAACATCTAAATTAATATTGTAAGGAACACAAAAGAACGACAACAACAATCACCACAAACACATTAAACTCCAAATACTTAAATTAATTAGTAGAAATTGTCAATTACAGTACAGTTGGAAGTTTTGACACAAACAAAAAATGTTTTGTTCCTCTTTACAATTGATGCACATCCTAAAGTTGACAGAGGAAACAAATCATGACTACGAAGCAGCATCACCCCCAAACAAGCAATCTCCCAAGCTCATCCTCCACGTCCACTGCCCATAGAGCATCCAATTTGATCAAAAAAGAGCACCATACCAACAAAAAACAAAGCAATTCCTTAAGAAGTGCTAGGCTAATTCTCAAATATGTAGGACCAAAATATATAACTTAGTAAGTGATAGAAAAACAAGAAATATCTGAAGTGACAGTCACTCAACTAAATTAATCATCCATGTCTTAAGTTGTTAAGACAACCTGCATAAGTAGACTTCCATTGACATTAAGGCTACAACTTACATATCCAAATCATCCATGTCTTTGGTTAGATATAATACTCATAACCAACAAACTCAAAGAAATATCAACAAGTGACAAAAAGCATCCTTAGTACCGAAATAATCAACTCATGCACCAGTTCACACTACATCGTGACGAAGATACATTCAAAAAGACACTTTGACACAACAGTTAAAAATTAGAAAATGGGTAAGAGCTGCAATAACACCATAGTATTACAATAATCCATGAAAACTTAACCAATTTGTCAACAAGAAAGCATGCAGGACGAGGACCAAGGAAAAAAGAACCAATTGAAAACACCAATAACAACCTAAAAGAAAAGGGGAACATTTGCACTCCCTTGGGTACTTCCTGATGTTATAACAACAGCAACCTTACTGTTTGAAGTTATAACAGCAACAACCTTAATTTATGGATTGTCGATTGATGCCTCACTTGAAAAGTCACAATGGATTCGCTTCCTCTTTCCTGCCATAGTGATATTCTTCAAGAAGAAAAATTAACAAAGTTAAACTATGCATCACATTAGTAGCTTCTCCAATTGCCATAACTATATGAAAATGCAAAAATCAAAACATGCAAGTACATCACATTAGTTTCCATATCTATTGCCCTTTGAAAACTACGTAACATCTCAAACGTCTCATGATCATCATGATTCTCACTATCACTATCAGTGAATGCATCACAAAATCTATGTCTAAGGAACATCCAACTTCGATCCATTGCTAAAACTGTTATCTATATCTTATAAACATGAGAGGTTAAAACAATAAAATTAGAAGTCAAACAACTTACCTAAGAGGAGATAAAGCAGATGGTATACTTAATGATTTCCAACTAGAATTACAGTTCTCCTACTGCCAATTGAAAAAATATAAGTTAACAACACAACCCTTAGTTGATCAAAATCAGCTGTTTTGAATTAAAACTTACAAGAGGTCATGGTAGAAATGGTTGGCAGTCAGAAAGAAAGAGAGACAATAAGTAGAGAGTGACATGTGGTCATGTATTTGAATTACTAATCACTGCAATAAAAAACAAACATGAGGTTAAATAACCATAAAAAGAATGAGCAGAGAGAGTGACCTCTCGTGGACACCATAAAAAGACTTTAGACCCTCTAGTTGTACTACATATCAAATATGGAGTTTTCATTAGGAAAATTAAAACTATTGAGCATAAGATTTAGAGTGTTTGGAGTGCAGAGGAATTCTAGTGGGATATATGGCATACCTAGTAAACAAATGCAAACCCAGATACACCCAAACATGAATTAAATAGATAGACAAATGAAATTTCGATTCATTAAAACAAAGTTGTAAAGAATTTACCAAAGCCTTTTTCCAAGAATGCACGATTATACCCTAAATAACAAATGAAAAAATTGGTTAGAATCATATCAATTAAAACATTAGCAAAGACAAAGTTACAACATAAAGATAAAATCCCATAGAAAAAGCTTAATTAAATAAATGGGCAATTCGTATTGTAGGTGAAATGGAAAGAGACAGCAATTTGTTATTTTAAACAAATGGGCAATTCGTGTTGTAGGTTAAAATCCGAAGAAAATTTCACCTATAACCATTCGTGCATAAAATCGCAAAAATTAAATTAAGTTCAGTTTTAATCGGGTCTATTTATGAACAAAATTTCCACATAAAGGGAAATAGAAAGAGAGAAACAAAGTGGACCCAATAAGAAAAGATGAATTGGAGTGCAAAGCTACAAAAGAGAGAAGGGAAAAAAGGGGATCAATGTTAGAGGTCAGAAACGAGAATGAAGAAAAGGGGGATTGGAGAAGAGAAGAGGGCCAGAGCTTACCAGTTACCACTATCGTCATTGACCAGCAAGAGTGGGTTTGTAGAGTGTTTCAGAACACTCAAGAGTGCATCGCCCTCAATTCTTTCTCGTTCTACGGAGAGTGTGTCTGAACGAGAGAAAGAGAGATTAAATGAAGCAACGGGGATCACGTTTTGTCTTTTTTTCCTAACACTTGGAAATGGTTTGGGTTGTCAGTGGGAAAAAGTGAATAAAATGGCGTCTTACTTGAAAATTCTGGAAAATTATAGCGGGAGTGCTATAGCGGGAATTCAATTTTCCTTGTTGATGCCTGCACACATCTCTTTGTAAATATGAAAGATTTAAAAAAAAGTTTTGACGCGAAGCTAGAATCCATTATTTATGTTATGTCATTCATGCCATAAAAGGTAGGGACTCAAATATATAGAAAATTCATTTTACGACATGTAAATTGTCAAATATGACACATAATGCTTAAGCCGTAAATATTTTTATTTAACAACTTGTACAAAAGTGTTGCCGTGAATGCTAGATTATGTGCAAGTATTACGACATGAACTTTACGAATGTCATGAATAATATCATTTAAGGCATGCCAGTATTGTATGCCGTATATTTCACGTCGTAAAAGACCCAAACTGTTGTAGTGGTTTCAGATGTGAATAATTATATAATTAATTTATTACTAGGAGAGCATTACTCATTTTTAAGTTATGATTCTTTATGCTGTTCAAATGAAAATGTTGAAAACCTTGAAATAATGTATCAAACTGAATTTTTAAACAAGCTTTACTTTAATGTTTTGCCTGCACATAATTGGGTTTTAAAAATAGGAATGCCAATTATGCTACTACGAAATTTAAATTAGTGTTTAGGTTTATGTAATGGAACTAGATTAGTTGTTACTCAATTATTTAATAGAATTATTGAAGCTAAATTTCTTGCTAGAAGCAATATTGATCACAAAGTTTTCATACCAAGAATCACTCTTATAGCTACAAGAGCAAGTGGCCTTTCATTTTTAAAAGACGCCAATTTCTAGTTAGACTAGGTTATGCAATGACAATTAATAAAAGCCAAGGTCAATCTATGAAACAAGTTGGTTTATATCTTCCAGGACCTGTTTTTACACATGGTTAGTTGTATGTTGCATTGTCTAGATTGACATCAAGAGAGGGTTTAAATTTTTTGATAGAAAATGGAGAAACAATGCTAAGAACTATACTATAAATATTGTGCTTAAAGATGTCTTACAAAATTTGCAAGAAAGTTCTTAATTTTATTAAATCATGCTTACACATTTATTCATTCATTAAAAATAAATGAAATCCTATATTTATCAAGCAAAAACAAAATTGTTTCACATGGCTCTTAAAATCAGGTTTAAAGAAGCTAACAAATGTGTTTCTATTTGTTTCTGGTTTTATAAACTCTTAACTCTTTTCTATTTTCCTACGCAGGTTTGTTTCAACTACTTCAGTCTTATTTACATCTCATAAAAGTATACCAGAAACAAAAGAACACCATGTTCAGTTTTAATTTACTACCAGCATAGCTGCAATTTCAAGTAATTTACTTTTTTGTCTATATTATTTTCGTCAGTTATTGATAAAATGTTAAACAACTTACATATTTGACTTTAATTTTACATGTTGGTGGTTTTTAACATTTTACTCAAACTGTGCAGCATCTTAAAAAAGGCTAGGTGATTAGACTAATTATCTTACAAGTTTATCAAATGCATGACAAAAAAGGAGTTTAGCTTGAAAAATTGCACACATGTGTTATTCAAAATTACCAAACAATATAGTCTTCAAGTTTTAATTGTCAAATTTTACTAGCTTCTTTTGTCAATTATGCATTTAATTGTTTAGCTGTATCTTTTATATTCAAATTATTTCATTTTGTGAGTCAATAACATGTTTCTTCCTATTGAATTGTAGACTAAACCAGACACTAACAAAGTATTTGCACAAGTCACTTTACTTCCTTAATGAAATGTAAGTTCTTGGCTTGAAGGTTCTAATTTATTGTGGGTAGGTAAAAATGATTATCTGTTGAGATTCTGATAGTATGAGGTTCTTATAAATTTTAGCAAGAAGACAACACAGGAGAATAGGCCCTCCAACCCCTCCCTCCTATGCCATTACGATTTCAACTACATTCATTCTGCAAGACCTTAACTGCTTTTCATACAAGCGCCCATGGTGGATTTATAATGTTAAGACACCATGCAGATCAAAACTTTTCACCACTGGTTTGTTTTTGTCAACTTTTTGTTTGCTGTTTCCATTTTTTCTTCATTTTTGGATTTGATTCTTTCTCCCTTTAATATTGTTTTTAAACCTGTAGAATCTTAAGCCTTTACATAAATTCAGTTGTCAACATGTTGTTAACATGAAAAATCTTATAAAATTCACTGATATGATGATAGAACATAGTGATAAAGTTTTAGAATTTTAAAACTAAAAGATTCGATAGGACTTCAAAACTACTACAAATTCCATATAAATTTTTTAGGAATTTTAACTTCTTCTATGGACTTCATTTGTAATTTTGATGCATTTTTATAAGGAGATTGCAAGATAGTATTATTATTTGTGGAACTCATCGCCAAAAAAAAGTTTCACTTAGTTTTAAATATTTAAACTTTATGTGGAAATACGTACATAATACACTAAATGTACTTTTCGTGCTCTAGATTAACATTTCAATTTTTTTTTTTTTTTAGTTCTGTACACGTTAATGATATTTACAAAGCCAAAGACAAGATTGTAGTATCCACTATATAGTAAATGACACACTCAGACCCGGAATGTCCACCTGGACTCCAAATCGAGGTGTGCTAGCCGACACCAGGAGGTTGACGAAGCCATAAAGTGTAATGATGTGGAAAATGTGAATAAATTTAAACCTAAAAGTGCCTAAATATAAGAGTGTGCTTGTGAGCGGGAATGAACCCATTTCACACGTGATGTCAGAGCATAAGTAAAGTACAGTAAGGTAGGATAAAAATTATACCATCAAAGATAGCCATTTATACCGAGATTTGCTAAGAATCATCGTCGATACGAAAGCTCAGCACTAAAACATGGAGGGACGAAAAACAAGGGTGAGTGGGCTTAAAAACAAAGCTTTGTAAAAACCTTTTTGAAAGCATAATAACCCCTCACCTTAAAACAAGCATAGTTTCCAAAATATACATACTACGTATAGTAAGAAAATACTTATCGTAGCCTATAAAATCTCAAGAATTCAATACAGCACAATATTTCATAAGTAAGTACATGACATCCGTAATCACATAATCTTGCATAAGCAAACATATCATATCAAGTGCTCATCAACACATTTTGAAATACGAGTTCATGCAGAGATATTCTGGCATGAACATGACTGGGTGTAACAATAATATACGATCTAGTACTATAATCACGTGAAAACTAGCGTTATGCGCAGCACATATGAGTCTTAATTTCCTATAGCAATCTAGGACAGGATTGACACCTAAAATGGATCCAAAGTGAGTGTACGATGCGATGTGCACATACACGTGAAACACTGGCCCTAGCTCGAGCAAGTACTAACACAGGTGCAAGCAACGACAAGTAGATAACGTAAATATGATCATGCAACAGTAAATTGATAATTCACATCGACATGATAGTAATAAATTAAATATTAATCATGGTCTTAATTAAAATCCCATAAAAGTACGCATACATGTGCATCCCAAAGGATTTAGGATAATTTCGTAATTTTCGTTATTTTGTTAATTCTTATAAATATTAGTCTAATCTAGGCATACGTAGGAAATCCTTTTTCAAATGTATAATGGAAACTAAATAAATAATAATATTTAAAAGCAAAGACCTACTCACAAATCATGTCTTCGGGTCGAACCCGCCTCGCGGGCTTCGAAGATCCTTCTAATGCATTGCACCTAGAAACAAAACCATTAACGTACTAACGTATAAACACGTTTTCCATACAAAGTGCGGCTAATAAAAGAACTATTTTAAAAAGGTTGAATTTCAGAAAACAAAAGGCGGATTCAGGTTCGACATGTCAACAAACCTAAGGAAGGACCTCGGGTTCCTCCATGCGCTACCACAAGGTGGGCAGCCACGCCCTGCACGCGCCGGCCACGACACACGTCCAAGCACCGTCACCATGATTTCTAGATTTTTGCAGGTTTTTCCCTCAACTTTCAGAGCTCATTTCAAGCTCGATTTTCAACCAAATGCAATGATTCAAAAGCCAATTAGATGCTAGGAATGTGAGGAAGATGTTTATACCAGTTTGGGGTACAATCGTGGCCGGAGTTGGCTAGGAGAACGGCCTAAAAGTGGCCTGATGGTCACAGTCCAAAACAGGTATTCCTAGAGTCAAATTCGTGTTAAAAGTGGCCTAAGAGTTCTAGGAAAATTCTTCCCAAAGTCAAATTCGTGTTAAACTTTACCAAAACAGGTATTTAAGGTCATCATCAAATCTAACAACAAAAGGAAGTGATTTACAGAACCCTGAGGCTTACCTTGGTTAATAATTAAAGAAAATCGCCGAGAAACATAGCAGTGGTGGTGGCCTAAACTCGCTGGGGTGGTGATGGTGATGGACCTGGTATTGTTGCACCTTCTGTGCAGTGCACAGAGCTTAGAGAGGAGAGTTTGCTGGTTTACAAAGAAGGGAGGGTTAAAAAGTAGAGAGAGAATGAGTTGTTGAGGGAGTATCCACATTGATGGTGACTTGTTACGAGGCCTGCAAGTAACGACTGGTTCAACTGGGCTTCTCGGAGAAGGTGGAACATGGCGATAGGGATTGGCTATTTTGTGTTATGCATAGAGTGCAGAGATAGAGGGTTTGAAATGAGAGATGAGAGGAAAGAAAGAGTCCTGGCAGCAAAAGAGAGCTCCCAGAAATGATGTAGGGGACATAAGAGAAAGGTGGAGGAATGGGACATGGGCCCCACGTTGCCACAAAATATCTCTCACATGAAATTACCAAATCGCCCTTCACGTTCGTAAGTTCGTAAAATCTTCATCGTAACTCCAAATTCAATTCCGCTTGCGCCTATGCATTCATATCATCGTAACTCCAAAGTCAACAATCTTTCTTTTGCGGGTATTTTGGTCAATTCACTGCTTTAAATGAATAAAATCGTAAAATTAGGGACGGGTTGTCATAATCTACCCACCTTAAAAAAATTTCATCCTCAAAATTTGAAATAAATTGCTAGACATAAAATACTCAGAGATAGATAGAAAATACATAAAGAAGAAATCAAGCTAGAGGGGTTGTATAAAAGAGATTGCCATTCTATCGCGATCGGATTGTAATGATTCCTCTTTCATGCTCCTAA